TCTCTGTGGGACGCCGCGGTCAGAGCTCAGCGCCGGGCCTGTCGCCCGGCGTGCCGCGCTCGCGGGAGGGGGTGCGTGGCGGAACCTCCCTAGCGTGAAATCGGGGCGTTTGTGAGGGACTGGTTCTGGCAGCGCACGCTGGAGGGCACAGAGACAGTTCTCCCTGGTAGTCGTTTATTTCAGGTTATTTTTATTAGAAAGGTGTTTCAAATTCAGGACGGAAAAGCTGATGAAACGCCACTTCAGAACGCATTAGACTAAAGGGAGGTGAAAGCTGATTTCAGCAACAGAATAAGTTTTCTTTTTTTTTTTCTCTCGAAGAAAGCTGCCATAGAGGTAATGCTGCTACAGACTTTGCAGCACAAACCGGTATGCCAGTTCTGTCCAAAATCAGAATTTGTGCTATAGAAACAAATATGTTATATTGGAAGTGGTTTGTGCTTTGGAGAACCTAGTGGCTGGAGCACCGATAGAGAGGAAGAAGTTAGATTGAAAACTTTTATTTATGTACGTTTTCTATGAACAGCATCTGATACTGTTAATCAGTAGCCTCCAAAGGCTGTAGAATATAGTATTTGAAGGCTTAAGATAACTCAATTTATTTTTCAATATATAAGAAATATATTTTGCTATAAAACTATCACTTTCAGTATGAAAAAAAGTGAAATACGAATCTTCATTGTAGGGATATTACAGGGCTGTGCTTCATCAGCTCCTGTGCAATCTCTGCAAGATACCAAAACTGGCTGAGGTTTTCCTGTAACAAATGAAGCTTCCACTAAAGTCAGTGACAGAAAAATTAGACAAGGGAAATGTGAATAATGATGTTTAGAGATATAATAAGGGCATCAACAATTTACATCTTTATGCTTTAGAACAAACCGTTTGGCAGGAGAAGAATAAAATATGTGTGATGTGGTTTCAGAATTAGCACTTGGAAAGATTTGATCTTGTCATTTTCCTCTGAAACAGGTACCAGGAACAGGCCTAAATGGGTACTTCTGCTGACTTATACGGCAGTTACTGTGTATCTGGTGCATACAAGCATTAGAGTTTGTTAATTAAATCTTGGCATGCAACTGGAGCATGAACTGTATTTGAGGAGGTTTAGATGCTGGTTTGGATTTAGTTACCTTTGAAAAGCTTTCTTATTGAAGACATATGGTGTAGTTGCTTGGAAATGATTTTGTACTGCCGACAAAGATCTCAAAGATTTTGCACTTTCAAGAGCTGAAATGAAAGAGCAGCAGCACAATAAACTGTGGGCACTACATATCCAGTTTTGATAGCCATAACCCCACCTGTGACATCTGAGCATTTAAAAAGGGCTGTTCAAGCTAGTTAATGGAAATTGGAGTTGTTAACTAGCTACGATCTAAAAGCAACAGGAAAGAATTCTTACAGCTTTGACAGAGAAAGAACAGCTGTATTTTCTGTCCCTTAATAAGTTAAAAAAGACTTTTGGTTACTAAGATGCAGAGAAAACTGCAAATATATTATGCACCTGACAACAGCAGGAAACAACAGAAGCTATCTGGATTCTGTTAAAGGCACTAGTAGATGCATAACAGCTTAATCTATACCAATAACTTAGAGAACTAAACCAATAACTGGCATTATGCTGTTCCTGATATGCAGTGCAAGTATCCCGTATACCTAAATAGCAGTAAACCCTAGAGTATAAGCAGTAATTATGCTCAGAAAAACAAATGCTTCAGAAAAACAGAATTTCTTCCTGTTCAGAGGAAGAAAAAAAAAAAAAAACCAACAATCCACAAACACAAAACACTTCAGCAGAAGGTTAGGTTGTTCAAGTCTGAATTTATAGGTTTCTTCCCTGTTTTCATAAGGCACTTCAATGTTTTTGTACTTCTGGGGGAGTTGGGGGGCTGGGGAAGCAACAGAAGTTTCTGCAAGCTGCCTTTTCACTCAGTGCATCTCAAAAGCAGGAGTGGGCATCTTCCAACTTACTCAAGAAACAGTAAACAAAGCAAACTCTGTTCCTATCATTACATTCTGGTGCTACAAATTTGAGGAATTAAAACCAATAATATGCACATGTGTTTAAAATAAATAAAATACTGTCATTATGAGGGGGAGCGTAACAGAAGGAAATAGCTTTATTTGCAATAAATTTCTATCCCTGTAGGGCAATAATCTTGGAACCTGAACCACTGGCTTCCCTATCATGATATTTTTACTTGGTTTTCCTGGAAAGCTGTCTTGCTCTGAATGGCAAAAATGACACTATACACAGGTTTCTTCTTTCTGTCAGTATTACGTTGGGAGAAAACACCCCAGTTTTACACTATGCCATTATCTATTTAGAGGAGAACCAGTTGTAGGGACAGTCTCAAGTGTACTTGGGATCCAGGAAATTGCTTTGGCTATGTCAGTTGTCTGCTGTGAGAAACTTACTTTCTTAGTTTCAGCTTGGGACCCTCATGGATTTGCTGCCAGTGTCATTCTCCCAGTTGAGCCTTTCTTAGGAGCAGACAGCAGATCGGGGCCCTATTTCCTGGTCTGATGCTTGCAGAATAAGGTCCCAGGCCCTACTTTTACATGGCATCCATAGCTAATCAGCTGTGAACAGAGTGATACAAGCCTAACTCTTTTTTGGCATACAATACAATGTCTGCCTGTCAGCTGGGTACCTGAAGCTAGGCCCGGAAACTGCTCAGTTGGCAGTGCCTGCTGCATACCCGGCATTTAGTGCACAGCTGTCTCAGTGTCACAGTTTGTGGTTGAACAATTTGAAAAGAGAGATCTATGTAAAAGACAGCAAGATGTGGCAATTAAATTGGATACATGGAACAGCAATATTATTTCCAATCCTGAAGTAACAGAAAAGTGATGGGAGTTTGAGTTTCTTTGGGAAATGAGAGATAAATGTCATGAGGAATGTATATTCCACACAAACGTGCGCTAGAATGAAATCCCATTTCTTTCCATCGTGTTTTAGTGGAATAAAGACCCCATGACTTGTAAATGCCAAGTCCTGTTAGACACCATGGACCATATTAATGAGATATGTAGTTTAGCTGAACTTTTCCCCATCACATATGGAACAACTGCATCAGAAATCTGAACTAGTGATCATCAGAGAGACAGAGCTGCTATGTGGATATTGTTAGCAAAAAGCTGTTCTCTGAAATGGTGAATTATTTCGAGTAAGCCAGAAATTAAAGAGATTCTGAGCCTTTGATGTAATTTATTTTCCCCTTCTGGGGACAACCTTTCTCCCTTCTAGGCTGTTTTAAAGGAACATTATCATGAATAAATATGACAAATAGAAAAATAAAAATATAGAAACAAACTATGTAAACGCAAGCCCTGAGGTATTTCAAGCACACAGTGTAATTTTTATACCTGACATGCAATCTAAAGGTTCCAGTAAGAAAATTTACTTTATGGCTCTGTAAAAACATCCCATCTTTCTTTCCTGCCTTACACCCTCAAGAACGGGTGAGAGGTTGAGGTAAGAGCCCCATGGAAGCTGTGATAGTCACAGAAGCAGAAACAGAGGATATTAAAGTGCTGTGTGTCTTTCCCTGACCATTTTCACTCTTCGGTTGGCTTCCACAGGCCAGTTAGATTCTACAGAGTATCTGACAAAGCTGCTGCTTTTCTGGATATAGGCTCCACTCCTGCACCAGCATATATACCATAGAGAGTCTTGCAGGATAAAGGGACTTCTGAATAAAGATTTTAGTGGCCCCTTTAACTCATAGATTTTTTTTGTGTGTGTGTGTGTGCATTTCAGGCTAGCTTGGGAAGCTTAAGCACACTTTGCACTGCAATTGCTCCCAAATGACTGCGTTATCTTGCTAGCTTCCCACCTCTCTCCCCCTCTTCCTTTAGCCTGGATCTCCTTGGACATGTTTCCTCCCCCAGATCTTTCTGCATTTGCACGAAGGGTCCAGTCCTAAAAAAAAAAAATAATCCAGTCTCTGCAGGACAGTGAAGTCAAAGGGTCTACTCACATGAATTAGTTTGCTGGAGCAGGCCCTTAGGCATTAAATTTTTTTTAATAAAGTCCAATTTTATTAATTGTACTCTGTTTGGGCTTTGGAGAGAACAGTTACAAAATGGAACATAGGTCTTACTTTTTAAAATGGCATTTGTTCCTCTGCTAATTCTTGGCAAACAGGGGCTCAATATGAAAGGGTTTCAAGCACTGTATACTTATTGGTGTGTGTACACTCTTGCATAGTGAGACTCTGGAAGAATATGCATGCAAACATGCACACACAACATATTCCATTTGCACATACTTACCTAAACAAGGTACTGCATATACATGTACCTGCTCATGTGCATATATATTTGTAAGGAGAGATATGCATGTGCTTACACAATATCTATAGATGTGTAAACTCTTACTTGCACAGATACAAACATTAAAAATCAAATTAGTCTTAAATACACCTTTGCTTTTTTCATTAAAAAGGACATTTTAAAACCCTTTTTTGTTCACTTTGGTTTTACTGTCACTAATACAATTCACCTGCTCACCTAATGGGATATTTTCCTCTCAGTATGTTAAAACACTAATTAAAATGCATTACAATTATTAAATTGGGTAGAAGAGCACTTCTTGTAAAGCTTAGTCTGGAACTCCTGGGACATAGTTGTGCAGTGAAAGTTTTAGATCATGTCTCTTGTGTTACGGATCACACAGCACAGAACCATGCTGAATATCATGCCAAAGATCTAGAAGAGAAGGATGCAATTTAGGGATCCACTTACAAAACAGTTATAAAATAGTCTGCATATCAGAACAATCTGAAGGTTCTTATGGCAGAGTAGCAAGTGACTGCTTCTATCTACAAACCCCGAGACATCAGACAATTAACATAAAAGAGATTTCACTGATACTCAAAGCCAAGATTTTATCTGCTCACACTAGTTTCACTGTTCTTTGTTCTAAATGTTCAGGCCAGCATAACAGCCCCAAACATTAATATTATTGACATAAATTTCACTGACATCAATAACTGTGACTGTTGGTATTATGCCTAGTATTGCACCAAAAGGTTCTGAGTTTCAGAATGCTTCTACGTGGAATATTGTATACACATTTGAATGAGAGAAGAGAAACTGGTGCTGACCATTGCGGTTTTACAGAGAAAGCTAAGCTCTTAACAGTTACTACTCAAGACCAAGACTCTACATTAAATATAAAACTCTATTCGTGTTAGGGAACTAGTTAACTAGAGGGAATGTTAAAGGCAGAGAACAGTGGGTGTTGCCAGTCTCCAGAAATTTCTTTTTTGCCACAGGTTGATTCTCCAAAGCAGTTAGCAGCTACCTCCTGACACTTCATTGCTAATGATGGGAGACAAGCAATACTATCAGGCCGTTCAACGACTGAGTTGATATCCCCTCCCCACATACCTCCCTAAGGAAGGAGACAGCTGACTAGTCATACCCCATGAAGTGTCAGAAACAAGCACAGAAAAACGTACAGACATGTTTCCGCTGCTAAAGAGGTTATCGTTCAATAACTTCTGCTGTATCTGAGGTGGGAACCCATAGAAGAGATGTTCATATTTCTAGTGTATCCTTGTTGAGCAATGAGGTTATTGGAACTCTGTCCCACCCATGCTGCTTTGCTGTTTTTTTGAGTACACCTTCATGTTTTATACAAATCACAGGATTGTTTAATCCCCTTTACCCACACCATGGTTTCTATTACATATATAAACTCTTCATCTGCTTTTAAGTGTCCACATAAGTCCACGAACCTCCTACTCTTCAGAGCAGCTAAAGGTATATGTCTTTACTAATATCCTGGCTCCTCATGCTGCTGGTTTTTGAGCCTGAAGGAAGTTCATGGCACATGCATGCTGGAAAATGCTTTCTGTTAAAGCCTGTTTGATACACACTGCCCACTCCTGCCATATCCTTGCAGCAGGGTGACATCTATTGGTCACAGCTCCGTCATGAAGGAGCAGACCTTGGGAATACAATACACACTTGTGGGAGGTGGACTGTAAGGAAAGTTACCGACACTTTGATGACACAATTTGATGAAAGAGCTGTCTGTAACTAGGTGCTACGCGTTTAGGAAAGAAATGTTCTGAAAACTATGCAGTTTAAATCCTGTTCCTTTAACAAAATACATACTGATCACTGGATCTATGACCTAGAAAATCTGTTTATAAACTATCCTTCACATTGAACCAATGCTACAGCCAGCATTTTTCTGGAAAGCCATTTCTATACAAAGGGTAGGTATTCTGTATTCCTTATGAAATCTAAGGAATGGATCATCAAAGGGCCTAAAGCATCAGTCTGCAGTTGTTTTAGAATAGATGAAATGCTGCTACGGCCTTTTGCTTTTCAGTTTAGTTCATGTGCCTTCCACTTTCCTGCTATTACAACAAAGTAAGATTGCCATTAGATACTTTGGACCCTGTCTAAGGACACAGAATGAACTGGTAAAATGAAGTCACGCAAGTTTGCTTGCGCCGATGTGGGCAATTCGCAGAGAGAGGACACTGAAAGTGGTAAGAATAACTGCACCTTTGAGGAATCTCACCAGTTGCTGCAAAACACCTCCTACAAAGCTTTGAGTAAGGGACAGGGTACTGGGTTCAAATATAGGTTTGAGAGTAAGAACATGGATTTACTCACTGTGATGCCAGCAATTGCAATTCCAACAATTCCAACTAAATGCAGATTAGCATCAATTACATTCTGGATTTCAACCAGGCAGTTCTATTAAAAACAAAATTGAAAGATTTTTACTCCTAGAAAAATATACTCCAACCAACTCCGTCAGCTGTTCTCACTAAACAACAGATAAACATGAAAAATATTATTGCAGTCACTGGCCTAATTCTTGCATCTATGCCTTGTGTTTTGTTGGACAATTTTCATAGCATATTCCCTTTTCTAGTGAGACATCTGTACCTCTTGCCTGTACAGGCTGACACATACAAGTAATTTTCTCACAATCAGTTTTCCCTAAATTTAAAACCCTTTATATGAGAGGCCATGCTAAATCAGGAAGTTTGGCCCTTCAGATTGGCATTGTACTCACCAGCAGATTCCACAAAAGACAGAAATAACAGTATCCTTCTTAACACCAACAACGCTTCTAGTCAGGAGTCTCCATGCATTATTAAGGCAGGCACTTGCCAAAATTCAGCCTGCACAGGGCTTTTCATTTAGGACTCCTGTTCTGCTACATCCTTCCCACTTTTCTTTTCAGATGATGTAATATTGTCTCAGCTACCATGGAATGCTACAAGCAGGCTTCAGAAATGAGGGCTGGGCATGTTCAATATGACCTCCAACTTATTTCTGCTTCCACTCTTCTCTGTTTCATATGGAATTTCATGCTGGAATTTGCAAGGTAAAAAGGAAGGTCTTCCTTTCTTTTACTTACAGAATGTCTCCAATTTTACTAAACAATTGACATGAAAAAGTGATTAAAACAACCAGAACAGAGGACACTTGCCTTTGGCATCTGGATATTCTCTGGACAGGGTAATCCCATTTGTTGTTCCATATTATCTTTACCACAGCATTGGAGCTAAATGAGAGAGAGAGAGAGAGAGATGAAGAATCAAAGAAGGGGAAACTATAGACTTGTTTCATACTGAAAGTGAGTTACTACTTTCATACTGAAAGTGAGACAATAAGTAACTAAAAAAAAGAAACAATACAGATCAAGTCATAAATTTATGCCCTATATTAACTGCTACCTCTGGTAGAGTTCCAACTGCGTGGGCCAAAATTCTCAAAAATCAGTTTCAATTGTCTGAAGCCATAGCAAAGACACAAATTTGTATTAACAACTCCTAGAAGGGATTTTTACTGCAGTATCTCATAACAAGGCAAACAAGTGGATTTTGGAAAAGCAGATCCCTGGCTTACAAGGAAACAGGAGTTGTTAAAGGGAGAAAGCAGAAAGTTCAAATAGCGCATACAGAATTATGGGCAATGCACAAAAGCTACAACAGAGAATACTAGAATCTTTATTTCTGACAAAACATAGTGCTGGGTTTGGAGACAGTAATAAATCAGAGTGTTTCAGAGGGTTTGTTTTTCCTGTTTGCCTATCTCCCACAGAATGCTTGGAATTCCTCTTCGGGTCAGAAATAACAGCTATGGGAGAAGGACAAAAGGGTCTGAGGTTGTGAAATGTTTGTTCTAAAGAACGTGGGAATGCTGTAAGGAGCAACAAAGCTTGGGCTTGATCTCTGTGGGAGGCAGTGCAGATACAGGATGGACACAAATAGGATTCAGGAAGTCACAGGTTCTAATTCTGATTCAGACACTAACTTTTTGGGTGGCCTGAACTGAGTCACACATGTGCTTTTGGTTCTTTACCTACTTGGTTCAGTCAGTGACGGGATCTGCCACATTGTAGGTTCTGGGACACAGGTCACAATTTTTTCTCTGATAAATGCAGAGATTCAGACCTTTTACCTCTCTCTGCATTTGTGAGTATTTATTCTTGGATTTTAATATCCAAAAGGGTCATAATAGTCATATCTTCTGCACAACAAAGACCAGAAGCATCAGCTGAAATTTAAAAGCCTGGCCATTTTCACTTTAAAAGGTAGGGATCACTTTGGATCTGAAAACCAGAATTCTGACAGAGCCATCAGGAGACCAAGTTGTGAGCTTCTGGCTCCATTTTAAGTAACACTCAGTTCTATTCTTTCATACCTCAGTGGGAGGCATTCTGCATTTTTAAAGGGTAATGTGACAGTAGAGTAGTAGTGCAAGGTATTAAAGCTCAGGAGGACTACTCACAGCCAAGTGGTAGTGATAGATAGTCCTGTTGACCTTCCCCCCTGGGTTTTTCATATAGTCATCATAAATGTCTTCATAGATTTTCTGGGCTTCCTGTATTGCCTGCAGGAATCAGAATTTCCAAGTGAGTGGCAAATAAGTCCTACCCCCAGTCCAGTGCAGACTTCCAGCTTGTGTCATCAACCTCCAGAGCAGAAAATTATGCCTGGTAAACTGAGGTACTATGACTGGAAAGATAGGACGTTTTGTGGCCTGATGGCATTCAGAGGGACTCTGCATGGGTCAGAATGTACATATGCTGTATTCTGTGTTTTGGGTTAAACACTGTTAGCTGGAGAAGTTCAGTGCTTGAATTTGTTTGCCCTTTTCCCAAGCAATACCCTCTTATCATATAGTTCTACTTGATGTTCCTTGTGGATGTAAGGTTGAACCACACCTACAGATTTTCTTTAATAGAGGGGGGCAAAAACTGTATCCCATTCTGGACTTGTGATAACACAAGCTCTCATTGACTCCAGATAAGAATGTCAGAGAGTCTTCTGGGAAAAGTCTCCTGGAAAGTTTTCCTATGCAAGAGCCAGACTGTAGGTCAGTCGGCACTGGAATCCGTAACTGCCCCATTATTACACTAGAAGTTGCTTGCTACTTACCACTTTCTTGCCTATAAAGGCAAACACTCCAGCAGTGACCTCAGCTGCAAATATCACCAACAAGCAAGCAAAGAACTGCAGAGGAAGAATAGAATCTTGTATTAATATACCTTGCACAATTCTGTTTTAGACGGACTCCCAGTCAGTCCCTCATCCTTGCCCAGGCCTCAACAGCCCACACAGTAACTGAAAGAAAGCTGGTAAGCAGGGTCCGTAACAAGGGTGTCAAGTCAGATTTCTTGTAATATGGAAACAAAGGTGGAAATGGCAAAGATGTGGCTCAGATGGTAGCTTCAGAAAAGACAGAAGGTAATTCCAGGAAATATATCACATGAGACAAGCAATGGAACTTCTTCATGTATGGAAGCTCTGCAATAGCACAGTGGCTAGAGATGCTAGATTAGCCAGTAAAAGGACATAAGACATTTCAGGTCTTGGACAGCAAAGATATTTCCACTAATCACACAAAGCATATGCTTTTGAATGATTTTCCTGTGCAGCCCAGGCCCTTGAAACCTTTTACTTACTGCTCCAAGTAAGCACTGAGATTCCCGCGCTGCTCCACAGCACCCAAAAAATCCAACTGTGGTCATGAGAGCCCCTGCTCCCACCAATACATAGAATCCTATGAAAAATCAGAATCAGACAAGAATTTAAGAAGGTTTCTCTTCGCAGTCTGCTACCTATTTTGTCAAAACCACACATTTCTAAGTAACAATGGTCTCTGGCTCTCACAAAGAACACCTGTTATATGGAAAAGTTGCTCGCCACAAAAGGAGACCAGTGATTTCTTCAGAATTCTTGGAGAATCTCATGAAAACAAATGAGAAGACTTCCACCTCCCAAGTTTCCTGTCCCAAGGGCAGCTCAGTCCAGGAAGGACATACACCATACCATCCAGAACCACCTTACAACTCTTCAGTGAGAAACATAAGACAAAAAAAAAAATCCAACATTGCTAGAGGGCTTATTTCTGTGAAACCTGCGGCTGGAAATGTGCTGTACTGCTATGTAGGGGTGGAACTTAAAAAGCTACCTGGCTCTATCAGTTGCCTGGCTTTGCATAAAAAAGGACATTTGAAGATCTTCAGGAAAGGTACAGGCACTACATTGTGATGTTCCTCTGAAATCAATGCTTTGGCTGGGGAAAAAGCTGAATGCTATTGGAAAGAAAAGGATGATTGGGGAACCCCTTGAAAGCTGTTAGAGGAAGTGACTGAAACAATGAATTTGCACCCTCTAGCAAAATAATGAGTGGGAAGAACAGCCTGAGGGAGGTCATAAGCTCAGCAATAGTCCTGAGCTTGGTCACTGCAGAGAATGGAAGCTTGTCTACAATTCAGTGATTTGGAGCATGGCATCTTCCTTTTACAATAAGTAGCTGCTTTACTGCCTGCTGGGCAGGCGTATTCCAGCATCCCTACTTTACATTTTTTTTTCCTCCGACATACTGATGCAGGTGTCAGAATATGAGATATCAGCAGCTTTTAAAGGCTAATGTTATCAGTGCATTATGATCAGAAGACTTGGAGAAGAGTTGCCTGAAAATGGATAGAATCACAGAACCAGACAAATCACATCAGATATTAAAAAAAGGTGATTCTGTGTGAAAAGCCTAGAGTGTCTAAGACTTAGAGGCCAAGAACCTTGCGTGCACGGCCTAAAACAGCATCTCATGATGCATGCTGTCCTCATCTGAACTGCAGCATACACTCCCACCGCCTTACTTCAGTAGGCAGAATCAGAGTGGCTCTGCAGCAGCTAGTGGCAACGCTGCATTGCCTTCATGTTCTGGACATTCGCGGTTAAGTGTTATGCAGTTACTGAGTTGTTTAGGGGACTGCTCAGACACCTTAGCCAGCCTCTTCCTGGGACTGCATTGCTGAATGGACTTGAGGCTACTGGCACAAGGGGTTATCTGTGTATAGACAAATTTAATGATATAAAGAAAGAACAGCAAATAGTGGATCATCAGACTAAACACATTAGGAGGATAATGAAGCAATCTGGCGATGAGACTGCCAGCAAAGACCAGGCCTGAGACACGTACAGAACATGGGAGATGTCAGTATAGCCCCATGCATAGCTGAAGATCTAGGACCCTAGCTACGTTCAGAACTTGACAGGACAAAACCTGTAAGCAGGTTAGCAGAATAGCATTAATCTCTGCCACCTGTAAAACTGCTAGAAATACTCACATTCAACAGGGGTTTATTTTCTATGGGCTTTATCTAGGACAAAAGGAAACCAGAGCACAGAATTTTGCTTTCCTACTTGTAGACTTACATGCTTGATCTGTGCTTAGGCAATACATCTGTTCATGTGTGGTGTCAGTTCCCATCAGACCACAACAACTGTGTTTGTGCCTTGTCTCTGGGTACCACGTCAGCCAAAGTAAAACAGGCTCAGGGCAGTGCCTTGTAATTCTAGTCTTTGTCTTGTGTGGGCAATGTGGAGGACATGCAGAAATCTGCCATGCCAATCCACTGCTAGAAAAAACAGCTTCATTTCTCTCATGCCGTTATGAGGTGACAGTGGAGCTACAGACTGTGCACACTAGAGGGCACAGTGAGCCTTGCTCCCAGCTTTGACTATGCAAACTTTTAATGAGAACATTTAGTATTCTCAATTACCAATTTAAACATTATTTTAAAATCTGACCCAAATCTTTAGGGTTAACAGAACTGCTGGCATTTACTAGAGAACCTAGACTAGAAAGCCCTACAAATGACAGTTTGCAATGATTGCTAGGAAAATGAAAAAACAAACAAAACTATCAATATACGAGTGCAGAGCATCTAGCTACTCTGCCACACAGATGCAGCCTGCTTGGAGAAGGCAAACTCCTGCCTGCTGCCCATTCATTGGCACATCACTGTCCAGTCGCTGCATATCGGCCAGGTATCTGTCCCAGCTATTGTGATCCTTCTCCCCTCCATCCTTCTTGCCCCAGTACCTTTCTTGTGCCAAGGATTGCTGCTGAGGAATGCATTCTGCTAAATAGCAATAAACCAATTATAATTAATATGGCTTTGCCAGGTCCGTGATGCCAGATATGTGGGATTTGCTGCTGTCTGTGCTGGCAGTTCGTACTCTGCATTTTCTAGATTTTTAATATTCAGCATCTTGTGACTTACTAGGACTGAGCATTTTTCAAGCTAATACTTGTACACGTATTCACAACACTGTTTTTTACTGAGTGTGGGATATACAAAGATATATATAGCTCAGGAGAGAAAGGTCATCTTTTCCACAGCCCCCTGTGGAAGATGAATTGGAAAAGAAAAAATCTTCTCTCAGGTGCAGAACCTGCTGTTCAACTGCCAAACACCAAAACTGCCATTTTCTGAGATCTCCACGGTAACAAACGGAGTGTAATTACAAAGATGTCACTCCCTCCTCCAGTGCCTGTAATTACTTATCAGGCAACTTATCAGAGAGACTTTTTGATTAAGACAACTAGAAAGAAGTCTTTCCATTTCTTTTTGTTGCTTCCAGCTAGCAAAGACAAAGCTCTCTGCGGCTCAGGGGTGAGACCACTTTCAGGAATTTGGATTTGCTTTTGTCTGAGAAACAGACGTTATAACATTTCACTTGCATGACTCACAGCTAAACCGCTACCTCAATCAGAACTTCCCTTTTAAGGCATCTTACAGGAAGAACTCACACCACTCACTAAACAGAGCTGAGCTTGCTGTGTGTCTGGCACCACAGTTGAACCAGCCAAGAGTTTAAAACCACCTTCTTCCATCTTCTGTTCAGGAGACTTTATTCCAGACTTTGTCCTTTCTCAGCCTGGGACTAGTAGTTGCTGATACTCGGAGAGCTATTTCTAGATGGAAAATAATGACGACACTTTAAAAAAATTCCACAAAACTAAAGATGTTTTTACTTGTCTACTATATATACACACATGTAATCTTTCACACAGGAATGAGACACTTGAAGAGTAGCTTGAAAAAAAATCAAAGAGCCCAGGTTACTTCTCAGCTTGCACTGTGAGGTTTCCTAGCACCCAGATCCAGGTATGCTCAACTGGAAGATGATTTCCAGGAAAGGTATCAAAGCAATAGATTCAGAAACATCCTAGATGGTGTAAGTATATAAGACAGGGAGCTAGTATTTCTTTTCCTAGTGGGCTATATGCAGCAATGTAGGCATGATCACCTCAAATTTTTAATGGGAATTGACCTAAACTGAAACGCGAGACTCTAGAAAGGAAAGAAAAAGAAAAGGGTGACAATGTATGGCACCCCTTAGAATCACAGCCTTACCTAGAGACATCATGCACTGATAGCCATCAAGTTAGTCCAGTTAGGATCAGCAAAGCAGACAAATGCAGAAATTTGGTGGTGTTAATATCATACATTGCTATGCAGTAGTATCATGTGTCAGAAGTAACTAAGCTTCACTAAAGCCCATTCCTTTCAAAAAAGCAGGATGGTAAGCAAAGCCATAATCAGCTTCTATTCATAAGCGCTTCCATTGTAAAATACAAAGCCTTGGCATGGCCTCCAATTTGGCATCTACAGCACAGCAGAGAAACAAAAAAGAGACTTAGTTTATAGTCACAAAATGGAACACATTTGATAGCTAGAAACTCTGACACAAAAAAGTTCACCACAAAGCTCAGCATGGCAAAAAGAAGTCAAGGTAGAGAGCTTGTTTCGGTGAATGGAAAATTTTGAGAAGACTGTCTAGCTGCAGCTTTTTGTGCAGCAGAAGTAAAAAAGTACAAAGTAGAAAGGAAGCAAATGTTTGTGGCCTGTGTGAAATTTTTCTTCTTGCCTCTGTTCATTTCCTGATTCCTAATTTTGTCACTTTGGTCTGTGTCTGCTAATGAAGAGGAGAGTGAGTTTGACAACTAGCTAGTCTCTGAGTTCCTCGGCAGCACACAGCCCACACAGGAGCAGATAACAGACGAAGAGACAATACGGAGAACAGGCACACTGCTATGTCATTAAGGAGGGCAAACACTGGACCTAATGGCAGAAACCTGCCATCTATGTGACTGCCCACAACTCGGGAATATTTATTGCACCTGCATGCAGGACCCACAAAGCAAGTCACTCTCAGCCCCTGAATGCAAAGGGATGAAGAGGCACATTCCAAAGAATTAAAAGCCATGTGCAAAATGCAATAGAAAATTGGCTGATCTGAGCAGATACAGCCAGGACACCGATGAACTATGAGGAGTACTGGAGGAAATATGGGCTTCTTTGTAAACACAAGAGGATGAAAAACAAAGTGCCACAGGACTGGGGTTGTTCTGGCCAGAGCCTATTCTCTTGACCTTTTTTGTGGGGAAATATTCAGGTTTCGGGGTGGTGGGGTTTTTTTTGTTTGTTTTAGCTGTGCTAAAGCACCCACCCACACAAACACGCAGATTTTTATAAGCTGTGAAGAGAAAATAATACTTCTATTTTTAGCAGTAAGTCAAGTGAGAGAACACCTAATAAGAAATTGATTTCCCTTCTGGCTAAAAAATAGAGTGTAAGGTGGGGGGAAGCCCATACTTCAGCCATTGTTTCATTGAGCAAAGAACAAATTCAGAAAGCAGTAAAGCAGCAGCTTTTCTATATACTTCATTTTTTTATTCATCCCATGGGGAAAATAATTATTTCT